GTAAAATTCTTTTGTATCTATGAACTCACTGGGTCCTCACAACAACCTGGAGAGGTGGGCAGAGCAGCTATGATGACCCAGTTTTACAGAGAAAGACGTCGAGGTCCAGGGCTTGAACCCAGGGCCACTTGCCTCCAGTGCTGTGCTCTTTGCCCCGCCCCCACCATCCGGAGAGTGAGACAAGCCTCCCTCAGAAGGGATGCACATGGTCATGCCAGCACTGGTCTACAGGCCACAGGTTCAGAACAAGGCGATCCTGAACGCAGGGAGATTCAACTGGTCCTTGAAAGATGGGTGGGATTCGGAGAGGTGTACCTGGGACAGAGCAAAGATAGATACATGGGGTAGGGGGAGTAGGAGAGCACAGACTGATGTCATTAGCAACAATAATTATTATGACCGTTACATAATTATTACTAACTATTAATTATTAATGCAGTTATTAATAGTTATTGTTATATATAACTATGTTAATTATAGCAACCACTTACTGGTTTAGTTTTCCATACCTCATCTCATTTAATCCTCCCAAGAATCCCATGAAGAAGGTCTGCCATGACCCCCGTTTTACAGATGAGAAAAATGAGGCTCCCAGAGGCCTCACAGTTAGTGACAGAGCTGCTGGGTTTGGAGGCAGCAGGCCCTGGGTTCCGATCCGGGCTCTTTGTTCTGGCTGGGTGACCCTGGTGAGTAATTTCTCTTCTGAGGATCTGTTTCAGAGTGACATGGGGGGGCGTATGAAGACACTGCCTGTTAAGCCACATAGAGTTTGGTCATTGTCATTAGTATTGCTCCCTCCCTGTCTCTCCTTGGCAGCTCAGCTCACCCCAGCCTGTGTATCCTGGTATCCCGGGCTCTGCCAAGATGGTTCTGGAGCAGAGCTTGGTGGGGGCAGTGGGGAGGACACTCTGGAGGCTATATTGTGTCCAGGCATCTCCCTTGGGACCCCACCGGGAGGCAGGAATGTGGCTTGGAGCTGGTTGAGGGTCACGTGGAGGGCTGGCAGGCTTGTGTCTGGCAGCTCATAAATGCCCAGGAAGAATGGGCTGTGGCAGAGAGTTTTGTTTGTGTCAGCAGCAGCCTCTTCTGTGTGTGGGGGGCAGTGTCCCCACTGTGGCTCATGAGAAGCTTGTAAACCTGTCACTAGGTGGGGAACTCCTTGGGAGCGCTGCTTGGAGCCAGACGGTGAGATTGGGGTACCACCCAGGACCACTGGCCACTGAGAAAGCAGCTGTACAGTGCACATGCCCAACATCCTGGGTCCCGGGTTGGGGCTGCTCCCCCTGCTGGGACTGGCCAGCCCCTCCTTCACGAAGCCTTTCCCCACTACTCCTGCCATCTTGGACTTGGGGGGGGAAAATGAGCTCTAGTGTTAGATGCTGAGTAGGGTAAAAGACCCTGGACATGGCATTGGAAGGCCAGGGTTCAAGTCCCACTTCTGCCACTTAACTGCTGTGTGACCTCAAACAATTTGGTTAACCAGTCTGAACTGCAACTCACTCATCCATAGAATGGGGACCTTAAGGGGTCATAGTGTATGTCAAAGCAGAGGGAGGGGGCCCTTTTGGATGGTATAGGAAAGGAGTCTTGCCCCAAGCTGGTCCTTGGTATCAGAGCTGTGCTCAGGGAAGGGAGGCTCTGGGGACTGGTTCTTCCAGGACCTTGGTCTCTGGCCCCTGGGTGTCATCACCATATTTGCCCAGAGCCAGTGTTTTCTGTACCTTTACCCAGGGCCCCAGGACCCCAACTGGGATGGGTGGTAGAAAAGGAAGCTGAGGCCCTGCAGTTGGTCCATGGATTGGGTTCTAAACAGAGGCTAGGGAGGGGAGCCCCATAGGAGAGGCTCTAGTCAGCTGCTGGGCTCAGCAGGTTTAGAAAAACTACTTTATTGAGGTTTAGTTGACACACTAAACTACAATGTGTTTAAAGTGTACAATTGGATGGGTTTTGATAAATGCATACTCTCACGAAACCATCACCACAATCAAGATATGAACACATACATCACCCTAAATGTCCCCTTGTGCCCTTCCCTCCCACCCCCACCCCCCACCATCCCCAGGCAACCACCAATCTGCTTGTTATCACCATAGCTTAGTGTGTGTTTCCTAGAAGTGATACACATGGAACAGGGAAAGGAAGGGTTTTGAAAGGAGTGGAGGCCCTGCCGTTGCTTCATGGATTGTGTACACATTTTTTTTTAAACTGGCTTATTTCACTCAGCATAATTATTTTGAAATTCATCCATATTGCCGCCCATATCAGTAGTTCATTCCTTTATTACTGCCAAGTAATATTCCATTGTGTAGATGTACACAATTTATTATCAATTCGTCCAGAGAGTATTTTTGTCATCTATGTTTCCACTTCTACATATGTATACATCCCTAAATAACGTGTAATGTTACCTTTTACCAGAGGTGTTTTTTTTTTTTTTAAAGATTTTTATTGGGGAATTGGGGGATGGGAACAGTGCTGGGGAATTGGGGGAAGGGGAACAGACAAGTTGCTGTCCTTTCGTTCTTCAGTCTAGTTGTGGAGGATGTTGCTTCACTGGCCCAAGTTGGCACCATCATTGCGCTCTTCCCGGGTGAGGCACATCAGTCGCTGGCTTCTGGACGGCCGCTCACTGCAGCTGCTGGCTGCTCACGCTGGCTGCTGGCTACACACGGTAGCCCATGGCAACCCACTGCCACAGGGGCTGCAGCCTACGCCATCGCTGGTGACTCTTGGCAGCCCAGCTCCAGGTTGAGCTGTTGTTCAGCATCTTAGCTGTAGAGGGCAGTGTCACTGGCCCTCATATGTGGGATCCGAACCGGGGCCCTCTGGCATCCCAAGCCAGTTCTTAACCAACGCGCCACTCGGCCGGCCCCAGAGGTATTTTTTGAAACCAAGAGTCCAGCTGTGTCTGAGGCTGGCCTGAGCCCAATGGGTATGTCTTCCAGGCAGGGCGCCTGTAACCATGACCACCTTTTGCCCTTCACCCCGACTGTTCCCTACCTTGGAATGGCCGCCCCTGCTCTGCGTTATCCAGGGGCCACTCAGCCTCTTCCAGGTAGCACTCCCAGATTGTCCAAGTCTCCTCCAAGCAATTCCAGCCCTCAGTGCTTTGCAGCTTTCAAAGCCCATGAACACTGTTTGGCAATTCCGGCCTTGTCTCCTTAGAGCAAGGCGAGATCCTTGTGCCACCCCAGCTCCCACCTCATGGGCCTGGCATGCAGGAAGCTGCTCCAGAGAGTCTTAGAGGCTGACAGGATGTCCGGTTTGCCCTGGACAGTGGACACTGGTGTCTGAGGCCCTCTTCGAAGGAGGAAGCAAAAATGCAAAATGATGTGCTATAATGTAAAATGATGCAAACCAATGCAAATACAGCCTAGACTGAAATCTGGGTTTCCTCCTTCCCTGTCTCCTCCCTCCTTGTCTTCCTCTCCTTCCTGGAAGCCCCTCCTCCCCTTTAGAGTGTGGCAGGTCGCTGGGCAGTCCTGATGCTGACCGAGCTTTCTGTATTATTAAATTCCTGCCTCGGAGGTTTCAAAATTTGAAACATCCCAAGCCTCTGTCACATTCTGTGGCTTTCTTTTCCCGCACCCCTATCTCCCCCTCTCCGTGTCTCTCCTCAAGATGACGAAATAGGTGGGGCTGCCCTTCCTGATGGTTGGGGCACAGATATTGGGGAAGAAATGAACACTCCCCCACAGCCCCCTGCTGCCAAGGCTGTGCATTCATGCTGCCAGTGCTACTGATACATGTCTTAGAGCCACAGAGTAGAGGCCACCCATTGTGTCAGAGAGGGGAAGTGACTTCTTCAAGGTCACACAGCCAGTTAGTGACAGACACCAGCCACCTCACACCTTGTCCTGTGTTCTTTCATCTCTCCGCCCTATCTCCTGGACACCAACCTCACATGTTTGTAAAGCACCTTTTCCTGGACCAAGGCCTGTCTCATACTCTATCCCATTTTGGGGTGTGGTAGAGCTGTCTGTGGAAGAAAAAGCCATACTTCTCTGGCCAGGGGTTCTTGGGGGAAGATCCGAGTTTTGTTCGGAAGCCTGGGCAGAGGTCCACCTGTGTCCAAAATGCAGGCACAGGCAGGGTAAAGTAGGAAGGCAGCCTGGGGTGCAGGGAGGTGGCCCTAAGGAGGGAGGAGACGGGTGTGGTCCTGAGGCTGCAGAGCCTGCCCCACCCACCTTCCTGGTCTCCAATGGCAGCCACATGGTCACTCGTTCACTGCAGTTCAGCCTTGTCAGCCGAGCTCCAATGCCTTCTCCTCCTCCTCAGGTTCCTGAAGAAGTGACCTGCCTGTATGTCCTTTTGGCACATCACTGCCTGCCATTTATATTATGATTTCTGTCCATGTCTAATCTCCCTTCCTGGACTATTGGCTTCTTGAAGACAGGATCTATGTATGTTTCATGCCTGCATCTTCAGTGTCTAGGACAGGGCTTGGTATTCAACAGATACATAATGAATATTTATTGAATAAAATAAATTATGGTGGTAGTATGTGACAGTGTATGGTGGTGGATGTTAGTAGTAAATACCGATTCATCACAAAGGTCGATGGTGGTAAATACTAGTGAGAAACAGTAGATGGTAGTTGGTGATGGTGGGAGGTGATGGGTGAAGGACCAGGGTAGATGAAGGTGGTAGGTGGTGATGTATGACAGATGGGGGCAGGTAGTGGTGTAGGTAGGTGATGGATGAAGGACAAGGGTAGGTGTTGGTGATGGGACGTGATGGTAAAGGGTGAGGCTGGATGGTGGTGGGAGGTGATGGGTGAAGGATGAGAATAGATGGTGGTGGATAATAAATGTTGGTAGATGGTGAAGTAGGAAGCAGCAGGAGAAGGATGGTGGCAAAAGGTGGCAGGAGTAGTGGGTTGCAGTGATGGACAGTGGGTGACTTCTGCTTATGCCCCATCCATCTGCCCTTCCCTAGGAGACCCTAGTCCAGTTCTTGGACTGCCAAGTTCTCTGACCCTGTGGCTTGTTCCTTTGTAGACTCCATTGGGAGTCCCTTCCCTGTCACCTCTCACCGATGTCACCACAAGCAGAAGCACTGCCCGGGAGTGCTGCCCGGCGGGGTGCTCCCGGCCACGCCGCTGCTCTTCCACCCACACACCAAAGGCTCCCAGATCCTCATGGACCTCAGCCACAAGGCTGTGAAGAGACAGGCAAGCTTCTGCAACGCCATCACCTTCAGTAACCGCCCAGTCCTCATCTACGAGCAAGTCAGACTGAAGGTGGGCATCTAAACTTTCTCCCCCCATCACTGCCTTCTCTTACAGCCATTATGAAACCCTGCCCCTTCTCTTTCCCGTCTGCTGCCACTTCTACCCTTCCTTGTCCTTCCTCTTTCTCTTCCCTCTTCTTTACTCCTTTCTCAACCGTTCCTGCATGACAAAGAAGGAAGGTGTGTGTGTGTGTGTGTGTGTGTGTGTGTGTGTGTGTGTGCGCGCGCGCGCGCGCGCGCGCGCGCGGGGTTGGGGGTTGGGGGGTGCGGGGGAGTGGCCATGGGAATCACTAGGTCTCACCAGACTGGTGGGAAGGCTCCTGAGGGAGACAAAGGAGCCCCAATGGTGGGCGAGCTGCGCAGTATGACTCCTCATGAAAGACTGCCTGGGGGTGGTCTGCAGAAAAAGGCGCACTCCCTTCCCCTTGGGCTCTCTGAGGTGGGGAGACGCTGGGCTGGGGGCGGGGGAAGCTGTCTGAGGTCAGCACCCTACCCCTCAGATCACCAAGAAGCAGTGCTGCTGGAGCGGCGCGCTGCGCCTGGGCTTTACGAGCAAGGACCCCTCCCGCATCCACCCTGACTCGCTGCCCAAGTATGCCTGCCCCGACCTGGTGTCCCAGAGCGGGTTCTGGGCCAAGGCGCTACCCGAGGAGTTTGCCAACGAGGGCAACATCATCGCTTTCTGGGTGGACAAGAAGGGCCGTGTGTTCTACCGCATCAACGACTCGACCGCCATGCTCTTCTTCAATGGGGTCCGCACAGCTGACCCGCTCTGGGCCCTGGTGGACGTCTACGGCCTCACGCGGGGCGTCCAGCTGCTTGGTGAGTGCCCGTGCCCTCCGGCCCCTTAGGTGCAGGGCGCACCTCTAGGTGCTGTGGTTTGAAGGGAAGCTAAGACTGGTGACTGCTCTCAGGTCTCCAGCACGACTCCCAGTCCAGGACCCCTCCCACCTAGTGACCCTTGTGCGTGTGCAGCCAAGTGTGTATGCGTGTGCACACATAGACTCTGGGTACAGATCAGCCCATTGGCAAATTGGCTGTGTCGCGAGGAGGAGCCTTCATGAGTCTCATCTGTAAAATGGGTTGGTGGGAAGAGGAAATTCAGTTAAAGAGGCTGTGAGTGAGCCTAGCACAGCCATAGGTACCAAGTCACTGCTCAACACCTGTTCTTCTCATCTCCCATCCCTGCAGAGAAAAATGCCATGGAAGTGGCTGAAAAACGTTTTCTCTCTTCTTTTTTTCCTTTCTGACTTGAGAGCCTAGAAACAGTGAAGCTCTTTTTTTTTTTTCAAAACACCTTTATTTGACTGAAAAAGGCAATGGGGAAAAAAAGAGAAGGTGAATGTAAAAACAAAGAAATGGGTCATCAGTAGCTTTTCTTTTTGTTGAGTTCCCAACACAAGGAGGCTGTTTTTATTAATTGTTTGGGAACGTGCTGGTTTTCAACCAGACAGAAGTGTTTCTATATTCCCATGGACATGTTAAGGCTCTTCTGGGTCTCATCAAGTGAAGAAGAGAGCCCAGGCTGCCCAGGGATAATCCGCTTTCCATTCCTTGCGTGAAATGGGTGCACCTGCAGGGCTCCTACCCGCCAGAGACTGACAGGGCAGTGGTGATGCTCTTGGGCTGCAGAGTCAGACATACCCACGTTGGACCCTGGACAGCCTCTACTAACAGTGGGACCTCAGCTTCCTCATCTCTAAAGTGGGGGTCCTTTTCAGAGTCGTTTTGAAGGCTCAAAGAGCTGAGTTACATGAAGCAGCTGACACATAGTGGGTATTCAATGACTGTTAGTCACCCTTACCCATCCTGGAGAGGGTAGTGCCTAACCTAAGGCTCAAGTGAACACCTTCCCTCCGCTCTGGTATCCTGAGGGCCCCACACTTCAACTTTGGGGTTCCAAAGCTTGAGTTTGAGCTCAGATACTTCTGTCGGAGCCCCAGTCTTCTCTTCTGTAAAGTGGTTGGGAATACTATGACTTAGCCCAGGCGCATGGCCACATGGTGGGAGACAAAAGAATGTCTCAGCTCTTGAGAAAGCCACAGTCCTGTTGCAGGGTCGGTAAGGCAAATGGAAGCAACATTCTTGCTTTTCCCTAGGCAAAGAATGCCCTTCCCCACAGTCCCTAAAGATCAAAATGCCACTCTGGCTTCAAGACCCAGCTCGAAAGCCACCTCCTCCCTGAAGCCTTCTGGGTGGAATTCTCTCCTCCATTCCTTGTATCCCACTGCGTGGCACCTGCACTTCTCTCAGTGATGAGGCATTGGCTGAGCCTTGGTCATCCATATGTCTGTTCCCACACAAGATGGGGAGGGCTCGGAGGGAGGAACTCATTCTCAACCAGCCAGCTTCCTCTCCAGAGTGGAATCTTGTGCTGGGTTGCTGAGGAATATTTACAGGTGGGTAGAGAGTGGTGGGACGGAGAGATGATTTATTAGATGAAGGAAAAGGTGTGGGGGCAGCACTGAGGTAGCCCCAACCCTGCTCACAGAAGGCCCCAGGCTCAATGGGAAATTAGGGAGATAAATCAAACACTCCAGACATGATTAACCGGAGAGAAGACAGTAAATTGCTAAACGCTGTGCTCCTAGGATCACGCCCCTCAGCAGCTGGCCCAGGTGGAGTGTTTTTATCCTCACTTGGCGGGGAGTGAACTGAGGCCCAGGGAAGACCTGGCTCACCTGTGTAAGGATGTGGGTGGAGCTGGGACTTGAACTGGGCGTTCTGATGCCAACAGCAGTGCCTTTCCCATTACCCTCCAGTGGGATTAAACATGAAGGGAGGCGGGAAATCAGAGGAGGCTGAGCTCAGTGAGAGAGGATGGAGTTCAGGAAGGCTTCTTTGAAGAGAGGGCTTAGTCTGGGACTACAAGTTCCAGAAGGGTTGGAGGGACATGGGGGGCGTGGGGATGAAGGGGACATGCCAGGTGAGATGGGGCTTCCAAACTTCAGGGGCCGAGGGAGGGGCCTGGAGAGTAATCTGAAGGGCCCCACCCTGGGGCAGAGCCCAGACTTCCGACCTGGCACAGCCCCAATCCCCTTTTTTTACTATAAATGGGTTTTCATGCAGTATTTTCAGTTGCATTTGGATTTCCCGGCAGGCTCCTCTCTGTACACCCGATAAGGCCAAGGCCCCAGTAATTCCTGTCCCAGCTGTAAATCACCATAATCCCTGGGCATTTTCAAACACTGATTATGGCCCCTAAATTCAATTAGCAGATTAAAATATCTCTTCATTTTGTTCTTTCTAAATGGATTTTTTTTTTAAGAGTTCCATCCAAGATATCTTCAGAGGTGGATATGCTGCTCTATGCCCTCATTTGGTGCTCCTGCCCTCTGGGATATGCCCGCTGCCCTATATAGTCTCAGGGACAGTCTTCCTCCCTCTCCTCTTTCCTCTCCTTCCCACGTCCCACGTCCCCCCCTTTCCCTGCCTGCCACGTCACTGCACCTGTGTCCTCCTGGGCCTCCCTCCCTCTACCCAGGTCCCTCTGGCTCCTCTGGCTTTCCCTGCTTTCCCTCCTCTGCAGGTGTCACTCTGTCTTGGTGGCTCTGAGGATGGGCCTGTATTTCTAGGGTGATTGTCCCCCAAACCAGTGTCTCATCTTTAGAAATTTCCTGCCAGGCCTGTCCCCTCCCCTCCTGCCTCTGTTTGGAACCTGTGGCCAAAGTTCTCCAAACCTCACCTGGTCAGTGTCTGCTCCTCAGACCGGAGACACCCTGGCGTACCTGGCATAGAGTAGGTTCAAAAGTCAGGCTATGGGCGGATTGGCCACCTCCCCTGACAGAGTAGAGGCAGGGCTGGTGTCTCTCCCGGACTGATTCCTCCAGACAGGTACCCCCCCCCCACACACACACTGCCCTAACCATAACCCAGGCCCACGGGTGCCCATGCCATGGCCCCAACTGGCCTGCTTCAGGCTCCCGTTATGCTGGAGTTCAGCAGATCACCCTCTTCCCTCGGGGCACCCTGGCTCAAGCCTGGCTGGTATCTCCAAGAAAAACAGCTTCCTACCTCCAGGAAGAAGGACCTGCCAGCAACTAAATAAATACAAATTTTATGGGGTGATTAATACTTGGAGCGATAAGCTCCTATCCCAGTTTTTCAAGCTCTCTCTGCTCTTCTCAGAAATGTTAGCTCAGGAAGAATAGCCATGGATCCTGGCAGAAAGCTGATGAGCCAAGATCCACTTACAGGGTGCATCTGAACACCCCTCTCTGCCCACCACAGCCTAGGCACTGTGCAGGGTTGGGAGGAGACACAAGAACGGAAAACCCCTCTCCTTGAAGAGTGTTTACATTAGGAGGACACACCATATAAGTGGTCTGAGGTGACCTAAATCCAATTCTACAATTAAGTGTGGCTGAAGATTAAAACATGTGTGTGTGTGTGTGTGTGTGTGTGTGTGTTGGGTGCATCTGGACAGCAATCCAGGAGGACTTTCTGTAGGGGGTGAGCTTTAAGTCAGGAACCAAGGGAGGTGGAAAGGAACAATTTAGGCCAGTCAGGAGGGCTGTGCATAGGCACAGAGGTGGGAATTAGTGGTCATCCAGGGATCAGATCCTTCAGGGGAAGGGGTGTAGTGGAAAGGTAGCAGATGACTTGTGGAAAAGAGGTAGGCACAGGTGGGGAGCCGTGAGAGTAGAAAGCTTCCAGCAGCTTCTGTGCTGTCAAGTTTTTCAGTAAGAGGGAATGTGGCTCAGAGATGAGGAGGGGCCTCCCTAAATTCTCCCAGCCAGTCAGAAGACAGGCTGGGACGGAATTCAGCTCTCCCAGGCTGATCTGGGCATAAAGGTCAGCGTGAGAAGACTTACTGCCACATCAAAATGGTAGCGGCTGAGCCCAGCAGGGCGTTAGGAGGGCATTAGGTGGAGGCACCCGTTAGGTGGGTGCATGGCATTTTGCCTCTTCCCTACCTCTGCCCAGGTTCCCAGGTTTTGGTAAAAGATCCCACCTGCCTACTGTGGAGAGGTATGGACGGAGACTCTCAGGGTAGCTTCCTAAAGGCCAGGCTGCTGCTGGACCAGTTTCCGGGGTGGCAGGCCAGCCTGGCTGCCCTGCAGTGAGAGGCCTGGGCCGTAGGTCAGGACCCCGCTCCAGGATGTGCCTCAGCTTGGCAGCACAGAGAGTGTGAGCCACCCGGCCGGCTGAGGACCACACTGCCATACGGGGCTTCCGCTTCCCAGGCTAAACCAATATTTACCTTCAGCTGTGGCTGCCAGGGCCTGAGAGGCAAATATTAGTTTAAGGAGCCTGAGCCAAGCTCTTGGGATGGGGGAAAGAGCCGAGGATACTAATCATGATTTCTTCCTCTTTGACAGTTTTCATTTCTTCTCGATTCAAAAGATACCTTACTGTTCCTTCTGCTTCAGAGACTCTTCCAGGCACGCCCTTTCTGCTCACCCCAAATTCTGCCAGTTATATCAGGGCCCAACACCAAGCCCTCCCCTCCACCAGGAAGCCTTCCCTGGCCTCCCCTGTGCTCGATGACCCTTCCTCCTGACCACCAGCAGTGCGTGGAGGTCTAAGTGGTATTGGCTGTTCGGCATCATGTATTGTCTTGCTCTTTAAGAAGACAGCATAAATCCTCTTTTGTATATGTAGTAAAGAAAGCTATTATTGTATCCATTTTGCAGATAAGAAAACAGAGGCTCAGAGAGGTATGATAACCTGCCCAAGGTCATACAGCTTAGTGGAGCTGGGACTTGAGCCCTGGAGGGTGGGCTACATTATTTCCCAGCTTCTCTAAGCATGAGTCCATCTAGCCTCCCTCTTAAGTCTGGATCCCCCCAAAATGTGGAGCCGTGGCCCCCCTATGTCTT